TGATGTGGTGAACGTCAGGAAAAGACTAAACTCCCTAGTGCTCAAAATTCAATCATTATTCATACGATTTTCGATTTTAATATGCGATGAGGCTTAGCATAATCATCCCCCCGTCATCACATTATAAAAAAAAGGACCTTAGGAATCTAGGATCATAGAGCTCAAAAGCCAATGATAAAAGACGAGATTTTCTATGTTAAAACAATGTGTGGTGAGGCAGATGTTAGTTGTGTTTGAGGTCTGTTATAGTACACTGACAGGGGTGGGGTGTTAAAAAGTAGGCCCCTTGAGGTTGTTTGCTTATCGTAGACAGCTGACAACAGGGGGGGAGACAAGGCAGGACCACCACAGCCGACAATAGACACAGTTAATGATGATGGGTCGTAGTTACCAAGGCGTTAAACTGTTGCCCACGCGCCTCGTCATATTAACATTCACATCAACTTAACGTTCACATCAACTTAACATTCACATAAACTTAACATTCACATAAACTAAATATTCACATCAACTTAACATTCACACCAACTTAACATTGCCTTAACATTCACATTCGCTAATCTGGTAATACTGAGACGTGTGTTTGTCAAATAAAATCCCGATTACCGGATAAACAAGTAATAAAAAAAATATACTATATATTAATGTAGCTTATCCGTCTGGCTCGTGTGGCTGCCGGTGTCTTCAAGCAGATACTGAACGACTGAGCTGATAGTGAGCGACTGAGCTGACAGCGAGATTAATCGGTCTTGAACTTGACATTTTATAACAGGTTAACTAAATAATAATTCCTTTGGTTTTGTTTTTTTACGCAACTTAAATATTTCTTAAGTGATAAAATTAGTACTTGGTTGAACTTCTTTAAATACAAACTTGAATTTCTACCTCATGATCATTTTAAGTAAGTTTAATTTTAATCTCTGTATAAATTAATCTTACCTTTAATCCACCTCATTAATTAACCCTCGTTGGAGTTATCATTATACACTAAGGAAATGGTAATTATGGTCATTAACTCTCAATGCTATTTATATGAATCTATTTCAAGATGGTTTTAAACTAGATATATTTACAGTATATACTTTGGTGAACCCTAACCTAGACTTCCCCAACCTAACCTAACCAACCCAGCCCAACCTAACCCAACCCAACCCAACTTTACTATATTATTAAAGAATACTAAACTCCAAGGCCCAGTTGCTCGTCCTGTCTCCACTTCAACTCCAAGGCTCAGTTGCTCGTCCTCTCTCCACCCCAGTGTCTTAGAGCAGCAAACAAATGAGTGACTTGTAGGGAGGTGGCCCCATCTAGCGGTACAAATCCTCACAAACAACTATAAACAAGGCTCATGTCCCCCAGCTTAGTGTCTACAGGTGAGACATCTAGCGGTGAACATAACACAAGGATCAAACTTTCTCTAATTTATCTATATAATTTTTGTACGAGTAGGTAACTGTCTACAACCCCCCCCTCCCTACCCCTACCTTCCTCCTCTCCTCAGTATGGCAGAGTAAATACCTACACTTCAAGAACAATGGGAATAATGAACCATACTTATACCAGTGAAGTTAAATCTCCTACCTTTAAAACACACGCTAAAATAAACCCCCCTTGCGGGAGCCTTTGAGTTAAATCTGGCTCTCCCCTCAACACATAACTTAAGTCACAAGTGTCCTCGAGTGCAGGGTGTTAAAACAGTCACCATGCTGGATAATAAGTGGGGTATAATGTGTTAAATTAACCCCTACGTAGCTGCCACGTTACTACTATACCAACTTGTCACGATTATCTTTGCACGTTAAAGAGCATCTGGGTGATAGAGAGAACAAATTTACGAGCTCGTTCCTTAAAAACAAAAACAAAAAACCACACACACGTCGTTACAATCAAATCCATTTACATATATTATACGCTTGACACCGAAGGCCATCATCTCAGGGTCCGCATTATCAAGGGGGAAGGAGGGGGGTGTAAGGTAACTACTCCTCCCCACCTTACGCATCAAGGAGGAAAACAAACACTAAAAAATGGCGTCGAGTTTATGCCGAGACTCGACCACCCCCCCCCCCTCCTTCCTAGATGGTGTCCTAAGCCTCCTTCAGATGTAAACTAACAATAACATCTAACTTAAGAATCTCAGAATATCTCGTTTAGGATCTTCACCATCTGTCTTCTCTGGCGCTTTCATGCACTGACCAGAACGAGAAATATCGAGGCCATTTAGTGCATTATATCTCTCCCTTCAACTCCATTTGTTAACTGGTTATCGCTAGCGATTATTTCCGGAGATAAGTAACAGCGTCTCCAAGGACTATTTATGGTAGCTGACCGAAGCACACACCCAAGGTATTACCATGAAGGAGCCCTCAGGATAATTTTGTGCTGGCTGTAACTTACGTGTCTTTAGTATAGGGGTAACGAGGGGACCTAGGGGACAGCTTACCTATCCTCATGTACTGACTACGATTATGCGACCATGACTACGTGTAAGGGATCAGTCCTATAAGGTAGTAGCAGCGGCACTTGTCATCCTCAAACTCTCACAAACACCCAATTATGTAACCTTCTTGTGACGATTTAAGCCTGAACTTTCATGTGGGGGTGATGGTGGGGGTGATGGTGGGGGGTAGTGGGGACGAGCTTTTGTATGTGTTGTGTGTGGGGGTGGGGAGGTGGGAGTGATGGTGGGGGGGTAGTGGGGACTTTTGTATGTGTCAGGGTGTGTGTGTGTGTGTGGGGTGGGGGGATGGTGTAGTGGGGACGAGATTTTGTATGTGTCGGGGGGGGGACTCTGTGGGGGTAATGAGCTCTGTGGTGTTTTGAGAGTAAACTACGGTGCGTCATCCAACTCTCAAGTCACAATCTGCATGTGATGAATTCAACAGAAACACAACTATAATGAAACACCAGCAAATAATAACCTGTATCAAACAAGTTCTAAACCGAATAGATAAACTCCACCAGCCAAAAATACTACAGCAACAGATGACCTATATTACAGTAATGCATAAACTGTACTACATCAAGAAGTACAGTATCTGCGGTGGTGTGTAACTGCTATATATACACATCATATTTACTCATGTTACAACTTTGCATATGTAATGACTGAACCATAGCGAGAGAACCCCCCACACTACCAGGTCAACCTAGTTTTTACACTCACTCAGCACTGCTCCATAAACCAACACAATGTAGTCTTTGCCTTGTTTTGTTTACTCCCCAAGGATCTAAAACTAAACCTTCATAAACCTCTGTATCTCCCATGGCCATATTCTCAACCAATACGAAGGACTTTTTAACCCCTCTTTAAAGTTCATCAACGCAAATCCTATACGTCCTACGCCATCCTGTACGTCAAGCCAATAGGATACCCGTTCACCAAAGGATGTAATGAGGGTGGAGGGAGTCCCTAGACCCTATACAGCGCAACAAAGCCAAGAACTCCATCACCAAGCCTACACCTTCGTCAGATTAGTCACGCCACCAGCAGCAGATCTGACCATAACACATCCCCCCCTCCCTCCTCCTCCAACCTCCGTATCACTGCATCGTATATCAGCGGCCACCCGAGACTCTTGTTGGTAAATGAATATTGCATGTAGTCAATATTCGAACATGTATTTAAGGACCAGGGTGGATCCATCTTTGGGTGGCCTGAGATACTTGTGGTAGTGAGGTGAATACTTGACTACGACTCAAGGTGAGGTATCAAGTGTACTATTGACACACGTTCCATTAACAGACCATTAAGTAACATGAAAGTACGACCGAGTGAAAACAAAATAAAGTAACGAAAATAACAGTGAAGGTTTATATCAAAGAACATTTTAACTTTATATTAATATTAACTTCCCGTTTATATATTACTAATGTAAATATTAAAATATTTCCTTTATCTCTCAAAAATTTAGTCTCTTTCTTTCCTAATTTCTTTCCCTTCTCCTACTTTCATCACTCTTAAGAACACAGTATGAGGACTTCCACCATTTATGAAAACTACTAATTGAGTTTATGTACCAAATATAACACAGACTAGCTTATCTGATGACGCTATTACCAACACATGTCTAGTGTACCTTCCTTTACGGGTAGCAGAAGAGAAAGATGTAATTAAAGGTGGTGAAATCCTCCTCCCTGTCTTGCCACAACAAAGGTCCACAATCCACACCTCAAGACGGCAGACTGAAAATATTGCTAATGAACTCTTCTGTGATGTGACCTGACCTGACCTGACCTGACACACCAAGTTTTTCCAGTTATCGTTAACACTACTATGAAAGGTTGGACGCATTGACGTACTGATGGACAACAAGCATGCCTGTGTGCTCTCCCGGGGCGGCGGAGGACAACAGAGAGAACAATACCAGAATGTATGTTCATCTGGCTGTGTTCCCTGAGCTACACAAACAATACAATTACTAGTCGAGAATACTATAAAATGTCTAAACCTAAAGACTTTAAGTTACTATAACCTAAAACCACGAGCCTACCTAAACCTACGAGCCTATAATAAATATCTACAAGGTGTGTTGTTGGTCTTGTTATATTGTAGGACAACTAAATTAACCAGCGGGAGGAGGAGTATCTCAGGCACTCATCATCATCTGTGCTATATGAACAAGGTGTCAACAAAGTAGCTGGCATAACACAACTGCTCAATGACCTGCCCTGAGTTTCAACCGAGGAGCGAAGTTACATGACTAACAACCTAACTGTTAGAAACACAATAAACTTCACTATAAGTTATTGCAACCATTCAACAGAACTGTACTGAGCACCCGCAATGTGACAGAATGAACTAAGCGACATAACTGAACTAGCAGGTAACGTGACTGAGCACTCATCCCATAAGGTACACCTCTGCTGGGACACATAATGAACACCTAACTTTTGACGTAAATTAGTCTGAGTTAAGTAAATGAAATAAACAGTTCAACACAACTGCTCAGTAACTCGCCTGAGCATTAATGCATAATACAGGTGTTGAACGACACATGTTACTGAGTACCTACCTTATGAGCGAGGTCGGTTTGGGCGGCGGCAGCGGCGGCCCTCTCCCTGAGCGCGGCCCATTTCTCCGACAGCTTGGCCACCTCCCGTCTTACAGCACGTGTCAGGTCCCGCGCGCTCTCGTCCCCTCGGTAACGAGCATCGCCGTCCAACTCACGACCAGCTGTAAAAGGATAGATATTTACTCTGCAAAATTCTCATTCAATTCTACATTGGATCAGCATGCACACCAACAGGTCAGATATACATACAATGGTACACAGCATGTTGATGTGACCAAGACAGACCAAGGAAGTTATTATAAGTTTATTTTCACTGTGGGGTTGGGGAGACTAATCAGCAACCACAAGGAAATGTAAAAACTGGCATAATTTACATAAGGAAAGTTCGCGTACTTTGAAAGCGTAGATTAATTTCAACTATAAAAGATTTCCTCAAAATGGTGACGACGTAACTCCCTCAGTATCCCATCAACATACTCAGGACTAAACCGTTTTCTCTCACACCACAAGACCCAGGTTTTCTATGCTCACCTTCACTATCGCTGGTGTCACTCAGTGGTGGCTCAGACGCGATCAGCTGCCGGCCGCTCTTTAAATTAGATTCGATTACTGGTTGTTTTTCGTCGATGACTCTCCTAAAGGAAGACAAATCCTCCGCAAACTTGGAGAGAGAGTTGAGGTCGCCCACAAGAGGGCCCAGAGCAGTCAGCTCCGTGTCTTTCCTGATCACCCATTCAATAAGCTCACGAAGGGACAGGAGGAGAGAGTTCCAGTTTTCACTGTTGCCCTCAAGGCGATTTCTGGAAAAGAATAAAGTAGATAATAAAAAAAACCAATACGTAAAAGACACTGCCGAATCATCAAAATATTATACCCGGGAAAATATCACAAAAAGGATAATTTAAACACACTAACAAGCTGGCAGTAACAATATGAACACTGTACAACAAAATCTATACAATGGATATGAATAACCGTCTCTAATGATCTCCTGTGTACCACAAATAATGGAACATATAACACGAGTATTGTGAATAGTCTCGGGGGACACTCAAAAACACCGATTGAGGAAAAAACTGTAAAGAACACAATCTTTGTTCCTAAGATACTGGCAGGAGGGAAAGACATCATTAAAATCATCTCTGGGCATATCACGTCGCGGCCACGTCATGAGGAAGTGGCAGCCAGTGATTAATATATCGTGCGCCTTCCCTGACACCAATTCGGCTTTGCCTTACCCTACTGTCATGTTTGCTGAGTAAATTCTTGTCAACAGAAGTGATTAAGTTTCTCGTAATGTAGAAGTAAACCATCTTTCTTGGTGTATACAATGTTATATTTAAATTGAAAAATATATAACCTGCTATGTACGTATGTATGTATGTATGTATGTATGTATGTATGTATGTATGTATGCATGTATGTATGTATGTATTCACCACTTATTACTCCTTAAACTACCTGAGGATAAACATAAACTGATGAAGCGACTGGTCAGTAAATCTCAATCACCACGTAACAGCACACACCTACACGGGGAGGCCTAGAACACCATTGTAAACATTCCTCCACTATTTTATACCTCTTACTAATATAAACTATTGAAAGTAGTAATACAACACTACCACATTTTATGTTTCGGCTTCTATTTAGCGCTAAATAAATTCTAATAACCTAAGTTGAAAGCAGAAGTCTGTTTCACCAAGATGACTTTTAATTTGTATTCACGACAAGTTCGACGTTTTCGCCTACACTTGCGGGCTCCCCTCACAGCCATACTCGACACCTCACCTAATAGCGATGTCTTCTGGTACAAAGCTTCGCCTGCTATGCTCTGTACAGTTCACACAGCAGTTCATACTCACCGGATAGCGATGCTCTTATGTTTGAGAGTGTTCCATCTCTGGTTCATCTCCTCCAGGCGGCGCTGCAGCATAACCGCCTCGTCTTGGTTCTCCAGTGTGCCCAGGAGCTTCTGCCCCGTTGCGTTGAGGCTCGCCAACACATCCTTGTGTGACTCGATCTCGCTCTGCAAGTCCTGCAACAACGAGAGAAAATGATGTTAGTTGTTGGCTTGTCAATATTGGACACTCTTACTAGTAATAAGATTAATAGTAGTTTCTTCTAATATGAAATGACTCACTCACTCACTATTGTATATAATTAGTGAATAAACATTTTAAATATATGCTTATTAAAATGATATATAAAGTTAACATATTTTATCAATCTTATTTTAATGCTAGCAAAGAACATGCAATAAATTACCCCAAAATTGCATATATAAATAAATGTAGCAGAGAAAACAAAAGGACTAAAATAAATGGAATGGCTACTGCAAGATCCCACGCAGCAAAGACAAAAATATATGAATACAAAAACAAAATCAAGACACGTAAATTGAGGACATCATTCAAAACTCATATTTTCCAAACAAATAAATTAAACACATTTACGAAGGTCCTGTAAATAATGTTCTAGTCAGGTAAGAAGAACTCCCAGGGCCAGTTCTTCATACAGTCTTCAAAAATTAATGTCCCCTCAATGGTACTTATGTTTTATTCTCATATATTCTCTTCCTCATTAACGCTATATGTCCCTTTCTTGATATAGACGGGAGGAGAAGGGGGAAGAGGGGGATGGGGAGGAGGCGGGATAGGAAGGAGGAAGGGAGGGTGAGAGGTAAGAGGATGGGGAGGAAGAGGAGAAATGGATGAATAGAGAAGGAAGAGAGGAAGGGAAGAAAAGGGGAGAGGATGAGAAGGGAGAGGAGGCGGAGGAGAAGGCGGAGGAGGAGGAGGAGAATGATCGTCTACCAGAGAAAACGGGTAAGCAAGATCCACTCAGAGAAAACTGCCGCCAGCCACCATCTTAGAGGGCAAACTAAACTAAATACTACATAACTTACCCATGGCTTCTCTTTGAATCGTATGTACACAACGAACACAGCAATTCCAAAAGCAAAACTCGCCGACACGACACCATATATTATAAACAATATCATGGCTTCTCTGAAATATCCTGCCGCAATAACTATCAATTAAAATATTATTCATTGGTGATATTTTTTCCGTGATGTTTCCTCTTCCATACCGTAGTGCTTGGGGTAAGGAAATTCATCATATAATTCCACTATTATTGATATCAAAATCATAATACTGAAACATAATAGAATAATTTAATATAATTCGTTCACTCTTGCTTTTCAGTGTATATGACAGATTTTCAAAACTTTAAATGATTCGTGAACTTAAGCAAAACAATTTCTTTCAAGCACTCGACCTTAGCTCTTAGTGCTCTGCCTTGTTACGAAGACCTATCCTAACCTAAACTAAACAATATACGGCTAACCAATCTATTACAGTTAAAAGTCTATTTGTATTACATTTAAAATCATTAATAAATGTTATAATTGATAAGTATTACATCTAAATCCCTTCAGCCAGTTACCTCCCACCACAGCACTAAAGACAAATTAATCATTTAACCTCCACGAATGATGATTAATTCCCCTCAAAAATAAAACAACTATAAACCCACACCAATAAGTCGCAATTCCGGTTTATTTTGGTTTATTTTTTTTTACATCTTAGGAGCCTTTCAGTGGGATTTTGGTATATTTTAACAAACTCAAGATTTCGTCGTCTTTCGGGGAATCAAATCAGCTTCTCATAAACTCACTTTATTGTTTATACTCAAGACTCCCCTACCTGGACGAACCCTTGTGTAATCCAGCTTGTCATCCACGAGTGTGTGTGTGTGATCGCTTTGGGTGGCCGCAACTCACATAAACACATCAGTCATACCCAACACACTGCACCTCAAAGAACTTGGTCGTGGAGGAGTGTATTTCCCGACTACTGAACACTGCAGGCTTGTTAACGGCACTTCAAGGTATCCCCACTTCACATTAGATATACTTGATGTAAAAAATGAATATAATGACTGAGCCACATAAGGACTATAGCAAATCTCCTATCTCCTACTCACAGCTTATTTCACATTATGATTTAACACCCCTAACAACATCTAGGTAGGAGAGGAGGGGGGGAGATAAAGTTAAAAGTAGATTAGGTTGTGATGTTAATTTAGGCGTTAGAGTGGTTAATCTTCAGGTGAAATGTAGGGGATTAATATTCATTGTCTACTTGTAATCTACCTATAGTATGGCCACCATTATACATTTACACTTAAGTAGTAAAAGCACTAAGATAGCTCCACTGTTTATTTAATAGCTCACCAGTTCCTTATAAAGTGGTGTAAGTGATCATGGTGGCTTTAATGGTCTTGGTGAAATATAACACCACATTCCCGTGTCTTGTATGTGTTGGTGCTAACTTTAACACCACTATATATATATCACCACTATCTATCAGCACCCAGGCTAAAGTGCTCTCAGGGACAAGCACTTAAAATTTTGCGGTGGTCGTTAAGTAAACATTCCGGAAGTTGTTGGAGCATATTGGAACATTAAGTGATATGTTTATTTTATCGATGTTTTGGTTTATATTTTGTTTTATTTTTGTTTTAATATTGTAATCATATCGTAAACCTAAGTTGTAATTTTTGGCTGGTTTATAATTTTGTCTATTCACACACACACACACACACAATGTTTAATGAATAGAGAGACCAATTCAAATCCCCTCACTAAACATAGCCCAATTATTCTCGACCACACCACAAACACCATACCACACGCACCACACCACACCACACGCACCACACCACACGCACCACACCACACCACACCACACCACACGCACCACCACACACACCACACCACACCACAACCTACGAAGCCACTTGGGAAAAATCCTCTTACTCTACTTTCTAACGTTACCGGCAGTAATTGGGGTACACTAAGTATAGTATCAGGATGTGAGGATGAATCACTAACTAGGATGATAGAGGCTACGTGGTTGGCGGCGGGAGGGTGTGTGTTTAGGGTATAGTGTCCGTGAGACTAAACTGGTGACGATTTTAGCGGTACTCCACGAAGCAAGGTAGTGGTGGTGGGTGAAGGTAGTGGTGGTGGGTGAAGGTAGTGGTGGTGGGTGGAGGTAGTGGTGGTGGTGGGTGGAGGTAGTGGTGGTGGTGGGTGGTGGTAGGTGAGTGTGGTGGTAGGTGAGTGTGGTGGTGGAGGGTAAGAATTGTTAACTTTTCTAATGAATGTTGAATATACAGTAACTTGACGTAAGGAACAGTATCTCTCTCTCTCCCGACTAAAGTACATTTCAGATAACTTTAAGAAACACACTAAGGAGACAGCAGCCGTGAGGACCAGTGAGGGCAGTAAGTAACGTCGGAGCAAAAAAAAGTAGCACGGTGGTGGTGGGTGAAACATCAGGACCAAGAACCTTGTAATTACGGGGGCCCGACCTTGTGACCTAATCCATGTAAATATAGCAACAATGGCGCATCTTAAGGAGGAGTGAGGCGCCGAGGGTATTAGCATGACCCACAAGAGCTCCTTGAACCACCTCCTGTCGCTGCCACAAGATGCTGCTGTACTGCCCTAGCGCTACAATGGGCCACCCTCTTCGACACGACCCTCTACTCACACCGCACTTGTAAGTTCGCTACATGGACCAGATTTCCCAGAGAAGTGTACTGTATATATGACCTTTACTCTACGCCAGCCCGTCACACACCCACCACGATCACTACACATGAGCTGGTGGTCCATTTAGCCGTTTCTTAACATTAGTCTTATACACATGTTGTCAGGTATGAACATATTGTATTGATAGGTTGATAATTCTGCTCATAGTCAATGGCATTTAACATCTTGACTACAATATCGTACTCAAAAGGAAGTATTCATCGTTATTAAAAAGAGTTAAAGCATTGTACTCAAAGGGTTAAGTAATTGTACTCGAGGGGTTGAAATATCTTTACTCAATGGGGTAACTCACTGTACTCAAGGGATTAGGTTAGGTTAGATTAGATTAGGTTAGATTAGGTTAGTTAGGTTACCGAAATACACTGACGCAAGTCAAAAGTGGTGGTCTCTTAAACAACGCTATATAGAGAGGGAATATTATATAGTACAGTAAGGCCGCTCTTCAACCACGTACCCATTCACCCACCCACTCTCCCACCCACCCTCCCACCCACCCACCCAATCATTCATCATGTTATTTACCCGATTTTAATGATAACAGAACAACAATACATCATTCACTACGCATCGACACTTGATACTATTCCATTCACTACTATTACTACGCCTCCTCCTCCTCCTCCTGCTGCTCCACACGTAACTAGAACTCTAGTCTTCTTCCTGTTAGCTGTAAAAACACAATTGGATAGCTGTCTTTGTTTACAGGTTATTGAACTGTAAATTATGAACTGATTATCAAGTGGTAGTTTTTTTCTTTCTTTTACACTTGTTTATTGTTTATATCTACGGGTTGTTGTTTTTTACACTGGTTTATTATATTTACGAGATATTTTTACACTGGTTTAATGTATCTACGGGTTGTTGTTTTTTACACTGGTTTATTATATTTACGAGATATTTTTACACTGGTCTATTCAGAAATTGTAAAAAGGTGATTTTCTATTCACAACACAACACAAAGCAGCACAGAACAACACAACACAACAGCACAACAGCAACACAACACAACACAAACCGAGAATAACACGACCTTCTTCCTTCACGACTGTGGTTGATTACTTAAGGGTTTTTCTTAACGATAAATCAATAATAAAAAATATCACTGAGCTGTCTTCCATTGAGCATTTATAGTCTGTTCTCTCATGGACTTAAGTCAACCTTTGCACAATTAACGTAACACCACTGGAGTATAGCATGGTCGTGGTGGTCGTCGAGGTCGTCTTCATATTGATTGTACGCACGAACCACTGTCACATAACCAATGTACGCCACGACCACCATCACAACTACACCACCTCTGTACATCACGACGACCACCACTACTACACCACCTCTGTACATCACGACCACCACTACTACACCACCTCTATACACCACTAAACCACCTCTATACACGACCATCACTACCACAC